GACCATCCTGGGCTACAAAAAGAGCTCAAGACCAGCCTGAATTGCATAGTGAGACTCTGTTTCCAAAAGAGAGAAAAAAATAAAAATAAAAGCCGTGTGTGTGTGTGTGTGTGTGTGTGTGTGGCCAGCTCAGCCCACCAGGGGGCACAGCTGGCTGGCATGTGGTGCTGGGGGATTGAACCGCGGTCCCTGTGCTTTGCTTAGCTTAGTTTGTTCTAAGTAGGTGCTTTAGACCACTGAGCCATCTCACCAGCCCCTGGCATACCATTATTATAACGCTCAAATTTTATTCAAATAGTTAAATATTTTAACTCTTGAAGTGGGTATAGTGATATGTTTATTTAATCTCATGTTCTCTATTATTCCTTAAAATATATTAAAAACAAATTATATCACTGATTAAAGCATTTTCCATTCTTATTACTAATAATTTCAATTCATTAACAATTCACGTGATCTGATTCCTAACAGCAAAAATTCTTTTTTTTTTTTCTTTCTATGGTACAGGGAATTGAACCCAAGAACTTGACAGGCAGTCATTCTACTATTGAGTTACATCACTCACCAGCTCTAAATTCTTTTTCTTTTTTTGGGGGGAGGTGGTGGTGGAAGGAACTGGGGATTGAACCTAAGGCCTCCAGAATGCATTGAGTATAACTGTATCCCATTTTATACTTTTATTTTGAGACAGAGTCTCCCTAAATTGCTCAAACTGGGTTGGAACTTGCAATCCTCTGGCATCATCCTCCCAGAGTGCTGAGATTACGGGACTACTTCATAACAGTGAGCTCTAAATTCATTTTTGTAAAATCAGTCTCTTCTCAGGGTTTCCACTATGGTTTATTTGGTGCTCTTTAAACTCACATAATTTTCCCTGTTCCCTTTCTCTACTCTGCACATTCTTTCTTTTTTTTTTTTTTTTTTTTTTTTATTTATTTGAGAGAGAGAGAGAGAGAGAGAGAGAGAGAGAGAGAGAGAGAGAGAGGTGTGTGCGGCCAGCTCAGCCCACCAGGGGGCGGGGCTGGCTGGCATGTGGTGCTGGGGGATTGAACCGCGGTCCCTGATGCTTTGCTAAGCTTGTTCTAAGTAGGTGCCTTAGACCACTGAGCCATCTCTCCAGCCCCCCTGCACATTCTTTCTAGTGATTGCCCCAGCACTCTTTCTCCAAAGTCTTTATTCAGCCCTGAATATTCTTCCCCACACAAACATAAGGCCTATCCCCTAACCTCATGTCCCTTCTCAAATATTACCACTCCAGAAAAATCACCCCTAGCCTTCATATTGAAAATTGTCCGGACCTGTAAGTCCATTACTCTGGAAGCCTGAGGCTGAGACCCTGTCTCAAAATAAAGAACTTTAAAAAGGCCTAGGGATGTAGCTCAGAGTAAAGACATGGATTCAATCTCCAGTCTTACAAAATAAGTGAATGAATAAATAAAATCGCCTAGACTTTGCTTACATTCCACCCTAGTGCATCCCACTAATGTTTTTTACCTATTTGTTTTCATACCTACTCACTCCAGTATAATGTAAACTCCATACAAGCCAGGATCTGATAAGTTTAATTTACTACCTCTATACCAAGTCTGTGGGTTTATGTGTATGTAAAAGGAGCAGTGAAAAGCCAGCCACTGAACCCAAAACATAGTTGTGGGCTGGGGAGATGGCTCAGTAGAATAAGCGCTTGCCTGGCAAGTGCAAGAGCCTGAGTTCAATCCCTGGTTCAAAAAAACCCCAAAAAACCAAAAAAAAAAACAAAAAAACAAAAAAACACCACAGTTGAAACAGTGCAAAAGAAAAAATAAAGCCCCATCACTTAAAATGGGTTTGAAATATGAGAAGTAGGGTGATTGGTAAATAGGGTAAAGTTGAAGCTCCTTCCATAGCTCATGCTGAGATTTTTTATTTTCTCCTGAGGTCACAGGCCTATGTTCTACAGGTCTTGGTACCTTGGAGTGGGGCTTGATAAACAATAATACAAGTAAGTGTCTCCGCTCCCTTATGGAATAGGCTGTTCACAGCTCTGACTATGCCCTCTGTTTTCCTTACCTGTGTAGGGTCTTCGTGTTTCTTCCCTCAGAATCATCCACGGCTCTTTTCCTTGCTCCAACAAATCAATCACATCAGGCTTAGAAATGGACTGTCCTGTTCACAAGAAACATCATAAACACAAAAATAAAGTTACACAAACCTTTGAATTTTAGTTAAATTTGGAATAAGCTGATGGTTAAATGTTCCTGATAAAGACTTCAGATGAAAGACAGAACCAGCAGTAATTACACAGGCCTCTATTCCCTGCTATTCAAAAGAGGGAGGTAGGAATATCAAAATTCAAGTCTCAGTTGGGAATCTTAATAATACTATATCTCAAAATTTTTAAATTTCAATGAGGCCTGTTTGAGACAGGGTCTTGGGGCAATCCTCCTCTCAGTCTCCCGGATGGTTAACTTATAGTTGTGTGCCACCAACTCAGCTTCCAAAGGAAAACAAAATTTAGAGGAGCTGAGGATGTAACTCAGTGGTCAGAGTTCTCCTCAGGTCATATAGCTCCAGTACCTCCTATCCCATGTTTACAGAGAACAAAATAATTCAAAAGATAAGACAAGTAGGGTGATACTTTATTTTAAAAGTTTTTGTTTGTTTGTTTTTTGAGATAAATTTTCACACTATTGCCCATGTGGAACCCAGACTTCTAGGCTCGAGTGATTTTCAGCTTACTTAGTAGCTGGGACGATAAGCCTATGCTACCACCCTTAGCCAGGATCTATCTTTGAAGAAAAAGTTTAACAGTATAAAAGTCTCAGGAGCCAGAAGGCTTTGGGACAAAATTTTCCTCTTAAATTTACCAATCTTAGAGCTTTAGTCATCTCACTTCAGCTCTCTATTCCACGGTACTGGTAACCAATACTACAGTACAGTTATTTGATTACAGGAAGAGTTTTAGTTTTAGTTAAATGTGCAATACACTGATGGCTAAACGCTTCTGATGAAGACTTAGTATTAGTTGATATTAAATATTATTTCCAAAAGAACATAACAAGAAGCATTCTGTCAGGTGTAATGGTGTGATCAGGTATGATACCAGCTACTGGGAGGCTGAGGCAGGAGGATTGCAAGTTTGAGATCAGCCTGAGAAACTTATTAAGACCTTGTTTCAAGGTCTTAATAAGCATTTGCCTGGCAAACACAAGGGCCTGAGTTCAATCCCTGGTTCCACAAAACAAAACAAAACAAACAAAAAACCCCCGAACAAAGCTTTTACCTAAAGTAAAAGCTAAAACAAGGCAGGAATAGAGGCCTTGCCTGAGTTCTTGGGTTTAATCCTGAGCTCTCTGCCCCCAAAAGCTATCCTGATTGACTTGTAAGTTTTTTGTTCCATATTAAATGCAAAGTTCATGAATTGAAACTTTTAACCAGAAGTCATACAAACTCACCACAGTAAATAAAATGTAGATTCTTTCATTTTAAGTGAATACTGTTCACCCCACCCACTGCAGTTTAAGTCAAAGGCTCTTTTCATACTCAGAGCAAATCAGGAATATACAGCTAACTTTGTCCTTGCAAGAAAGGGTAACACAGTGCATCTCTGGGAATTTTTTTGAATAACACAGTGGGGGGGGGGGTTGGGGATATAGCTCAGCGGCCTAAGTGCCTGCCTGGCAAGTGCAACATCCTGAGTTTGATCCCCAGTACCACAAAAAAAGGAAGGAAGGAAGGAAGGAAGGAAAAAAGAAAGAGAGAGAAGAGAAGAGAAGAGAAGAGAAGAGAAGAGAAGAGAAGAGAAGAGAAGAGAAAGAAAAGAATAACGTAGTGGGAAATCAGCTATCCTGCATGATGGTTATTCATTAAACATGAAATTTTAATCTGGCATCTGGCCCCTTGGATATTAAATAAGGCCCGCACTTATAAGAGTTAGAAGTGAATATCACTAAATGATAAGGAAGATAATGGTGCTGAAAAGTAGAGCGTGTCAACTGACAGGCCTAAAATTATCTACTGCAAACAAAAGAAATTCAGTGTATATCTTTAAATACAGCCTTGGATTTCCTGGTGTTGAAAGGTAATATATCCCACATCACATTTTAAATTACTCATAGTAAACACACTTACCCAGAGAGACAAGGTTCCTGTAATTCTCCAGCATCACATCCCTATACAAGTCCCTCTGTCTAGAATCCAGGTATTCCCACTCCTGCTGAGAAAAGTCTATGGCCACGTCCCCAAAAGTCACCAATTCCTGAAACTACAAACACATATACTGTGACATTTAAACTTTTCTGTATATCAAGGATTGCCACAATATTTAGGTTTAGCCAGGTGTGGTGGCACACACCTGTAATCCCAGTACTCAGGAGGCTGAGGCAGAAGGATCTCTGTGAGTTCAAGGCCAGCCTCGGCTACATAGTGAGACTGTCTCAAAAAAAAAAAAAAAAAAAAAAAAAGTTTAGGTTTGCTGATGAATAAATAAAATAAAATTCAGGTTTCTGTATTCAATAAACCATTAGAAAAAAAATCAGTTTGTTAATGGTTTACTGTATAAATTTCCACTAAATGTTAATGTCTAAACTACAGTATTTTCTCTTTAATAGCTTTTTTAAAAAGATGGCACCTTCCCAAACTTAATATAAAAATCTCCATATTAAAAAAGAGATGTTAATAATAAAAAAATGATGTTTTGACAAAAATTTTTTAAAATCTCAGCATTTTCACAAGCTTTGGGCTCAGCATTTATGCAGAGTGTATCACAAGCAATTTGATTTATACAAATAAATTTTTTTTATTTTTTTTGCGGACCCGGGGATTGAACTCAGATCCTTGTGTTTACCAGTCAAGTGGTTTTTCTACTGACCATCTCCCCGGCCCCTACAAATAAATTTTATACCGGCTGTGTAACAGTCCATTTTATTGTGGACATCTCAGGAAGCCAAGTTATTTGCTGTTACTATTCACTGCATTAGGAAAAACTGGACAGCACAAAACTGAATGAGGCCTTCTTAAGTAGGAAGTTTCAGGTTAATTTAAAAAGAAACATGATGAGATGGCTCAATGGTCTAAAGCACCTACTTAGAACAAGCTTAGCAAAGCACAGGGACCGTGGTTCAATCCCCAGCACCACATGCCAGCCAGCCCCGCCCCCTGGTGGGCTGAGCTGGCCGAGCACGCGTGCGCGCGCGCACACACACAAATAAAATTTAAAAAAAAAAAAGAAAGAAAGAAAGAAAGAAACAAAAAACACCTTTACCTAAAATCTTTTTTAAAAAAATTATTTATTTATTTATCTATTTATTTATTTATTTGATACAGGGTCTTGCTACACATTTCAGAATTGTAGTGATCCTCCTGTCTCAGCCTCCCTGGTGTTGGGATTACAGGCATGTGCCACCACACCCTGTTGGTGGGGGTACTCAGGATCAAACCCAAGTCCTTGCACTTGCCAGGCAGGCGCTTAGACCACCGAGCTATCTCCCCAGTCCTTAAAATCCTAATGCTACAAAGAAACAGAAAAAGTAATCAACTTACACAGATCATGGTTTTAGAAATGTAAGCTCTGATCAGTCCTCAATGGTTCAATACTGGAAAAACTTTGAACTCCTCAGAATCTAGAATAGATAGAAGAAAAAAAGTTTTAATGTTTCTACTATGACCTAACTCAATAAAATCTTTCTGCTTTTCCATTTCTCCTTCCAAATTTAGTCCCCTACGGTTGGGCATATAATTCAGGGGAGAACAGAAGATGGATCTGACCTGCCCTCTAAACCCAAGAAACCCAGGTACACGAAGGTAGATGCAGAGTATGTGAAGCCAGGTCTACACCTAAGAGTGGGCCCTCAGCCTCTCCATGAGTATATCCACCTGTCCTCACACTCGCCCTCTAAGGCTGAAAGAGGCCTCATAATTCAACCTAGTACTTCTTTCATGGCACCATATCAGCTCAAGTTGGTTAATAAATGGGAGGTAATACAACATAGAAGAAACTACACAAGCTTGGTTCTGTGTTAGGAACAAACGTGTAACGGAACACAAAGTAATCATTAAATGCAAGTAGGGAAACATATACTGCTATGAGAAAGGGAAGATATACTGCCATCAGAAAAGTAAGATTAGGGCCGGGGAGATAGCTCAGTGCTATCTTTGCCTGGCAAACATAAGGTCCTGAGTTCAATCCCGGGATCCACCAAAAAAAAAAAAAAAAAAAAAAAGAACGATTAAAAATAGAAAACAAGGGGCTGGGGAGAAGGCTCAGTAGAATAAGTGTTTCCCTGGCAAGCACAAGGGACTGAGTTCAATCCCCGGTTCCGCCAAAAAAATAAAAATAAAATACAATCTGATTAAATCATTTACAGTGAGATAGGTCATGCAACATCAATACATTCAAGAGGTCTGGCAATTTATCTTGCCATTTTATAGAATCTTGTTATCATTATTGTTTTTTAGTTGTGAGCCTAATGTTTTGTTTTAAATATATTTCATAATTATAACTCTGGTCATAAATTAATTTGAAAATATACATGTGTATATGTACACACACATACATGGGTACACACAAATGTGTTTAAAGGCAGGTTTATTTCATCACTTTGCTATAATAGCTTCCAGCCAACTGCTAAGCCTACTTAATCCATTAATCTCACTTAAAAAAAAAAATAGAGACCATGAGCTTATGGAGTGAACTCCACTTACCTTCACACAAATTCCACTGGCTCAGCTATATTTGTTCAAATCTTACAGAGATGTCTAGAATATAGCTAATACCATGACTTCCCATGAGTTTCCAAGTCATATCACTTGAATCTCTTTAGTGGCTTTTATTATATGCTGACTTACATTTACTCCTAGTCATAGTTTATGCTTCTTGAGTTAGCATTTAAAAGTAGCAATTAAGTACTAGTTACTGTATCACTCCAACTGCAAATTTCACAGGAATATATATATATATATATATAATGTCTGATTTGTCCGCAGGTGTGCTGGCTTTTGCCAATAGGTAATCCCAGTGTACGGTTGATGCAGGAAGATGGCTATGAGTTCAAAGCCAGCTTAGTCTACATAGTGGGTTCAAGGCCAGCCTGAATTACATAATGAGACTGTGTCAAAAAGAAAAAAAAAAATTAAAAGACTTGGAAACATGTCTAACACTAGGATACGGGTTGAAAGAATTATGTTGTAGTTCTGTATATACCAGCCTTTTACTTGTCAATAGCAACAAATAATGAAGACAATTATGAATGAGTGAACAAGACAGGTAGGTTTTATTGATTTATTTTGTATTTTTAGGGAAGGGTCTAGAGGGTGTTCAGGGTATCACTACTAGATTGGACTTGTAGTGATCCGCCTGTTTACAGCCTCCCAAGAGCTGGGATTGCAGGTGCATGCCACCACGCCTAGTCTCAATTGCTGTCTCAGTGTGTCCTGGGGGCGGGGCTGGCATGGCAGGCCCAAGGCAAGTCCAGGGATCAAACCCTGGCCCCTGCGCCTGCTTGCAGGTGCTTTAATTAGCTGAGATATCTGGCTGGTCCTAAGACAGGTAGGTTTTAAAAATCAGCAATATTTGAGAGGTGGCCTCTTGAGGTAACTAAAACAGACTGCTGTCAACCTTTGTAGGCATGACTTTCAGATTTAAACTCTGATATTTGACATACCAGCTATCTTAAAATTTCATTGGTGAACTGGAAAATATTGCCTGCCATATGAGAATTCTGACAAAGTAAAATAATCCATATAAAATATTTAAGACTATGGGGCCAGGGAGATAGCTCAGTGGCATAAGCACCTGCCAAGCAAACAGAACGTCCTGAGTTTGAACCCCAGTACCACCCCCCAAAAAAGACTTTTTTTTTGTCATAAAGGCCCACAAACATGAGTGAGTCAAACTTATGTTTATTCTTTAGAACATTTCTTTTCTTTTCTTTTTTTTTTTTGCGGAACTGGGGAATTGAACTCAGGCCCTTGCACTTGCCAGGGAAGCGCTTATTCCACTAAGCCATCTCCCCGGCCCCTTTAGAACATTTCTATTGATAAACTATTAATTTTAATTGTGTGAATTTTATTATTTTAAACAGTAAGTGCTTAACAGGAAAAAAATCACAAAAATTATTACTTTTTAGATATTTATAAAAAGCATCAGAAATTTCAACATCAACTGGTTTTGGTACACAAAGTCTAAGAAAAAACAACAGAAATAAATTTCTATGTGAACTACAATGAAAACACCAACACTAATTTACAAAAATATAATCTTTACTTCAATTATCATACTAAGGCAGTCTTCATACATGAAAACAGCACATTCAATATACAGTATCACTTACACTAATAACACATATGTTCTGCTTTCCTGGCCTTTTTTACTTTTATTATTATTTTTAAATTATTTTAATTATTTATTTACTTATTTGGTCAGGGTATCACTATGCAGCTCAGATTCCTAGTGATCCTCCTGTCTCAGCCTCCCCAATGCTGGGATTACAGGAGTGCGCCACCATGCCCATTCTTGGTGGTCAGGTCCCTGATTTCCTGGCCTTTTATAGGCAATACTTGACCATCTCACTGGTCTTGGTGTTTTGTCAGGTGTAGTTAATTGGAAAGTAAAATATCAGTAAAGTATTGACATTTTTAACATGTACTGTGGGGTTAGAATAAACATTAACATTTTCACATCAGCTGTGTACTTGCTCACAAAACCTAAGAGATAACATCAGAAATAAGAATCTATGTGAGTGGCACATGCCTGTAATCCCAGCACTTCGGGGGCTGAGGCAGGAGTATTGCCATGAGATTGAGGCCAGCTTGGACGACATAATTGAGTTTATATCCAAAATATTTCTTAAGATAAACACTAAAATTATGAGGAAGGATATTCATGAAGAAAATTGTGAACTCTAGCTCTAAATTGGAAAAATAATGTGATTCAAATAATACCTACCATGTCATGGACAACCTTTAGTTAGCAGTATATAAATGAAAGAGCTGAGACACAAAGCAAATCCAGAGCCCATTATCCTCAATGCCGTACCACACTGCCTCTCACAGAGCACACAGTGATGTTCCTGAAAACTGCAGGCTGCCAGACCACAAACAACACTTGCTCAGAAATAATTACTTCTTTAGGAATCATCTAAGTATATTACTCCCCTTCTCGATGCAGACATCTGTGCTCAAACACCCAATTACAGTTCACTTCCAAAAGTGCCACGATGCCGAGGACTTAAGCTAATAGCTGTAGCAATGTTCAAAACTTTCAATTTCCAGATTGAACCACTGCAGGAAAATTGAAAAGGGGAAACAAAATAAATTGCAATAAAATACAGACACATTATGCTCGTTCCTCTAAATGACTAAAATATTTAGATTCAATCCTTTCAAAAGTTCTCATAAATTTTAGGGGCCTGATGTTTTAATATTCTTCATATGTTAGAAGAATTATTAGATTTTGGAGATAGAAGTCCTTTGTGTGAGGGACAGTGGCTAAAATTTTCCCCAGTTCATAGATTTTCTTTTCACTCTGTTGGTGATTTCTTTTGATATGCAAAAAATTTTAATTAAGATGCAATCTCAGTTGTTGATTCTGTGAAGTATTTCCTGTGCAGTTTGTTTTTTGTTTGGAACTCTCTCCTCCATGTCTTTGATGTTACTATCTACTTTCTCTTCCAGTAGATTTAGCATTTCTATTTTAATATTTAGATCTGTAATCCATTTATACTTTAGTGCATGGTGATAGACATGGGTCTAGTTTTAGTTTTCATCATGTAGAAAACCGGTTTTTCCAGTACCATTTATTCAAGAGGCTATCTTTCTTCCAATGAACATGTTTAGCCCCTTTGTCAAAGGTAAGGTGGCTGAGTATGTTTGTAGTTGCATCTGCCTCTTCTAATCTGTTCTGTTGATGCCTCCTGCTTTGTCTTTGTTGGCCAAGATTGCCTTTTTATTCTAGGTCTTTTCTGGTTCCAAATAAATTTTCTAGGTCTTTCCTGGTTCCAAATAAATTTTAGGATTTTTTTTCTAGATCTGTGTGGCATATTAATCATATTTTGATTGGGATTACATTAAATCAGTATAACAGTTTTGAGAGTATGGGCCCAAAATTCAAAGACTCAATGAAAAAAGTGGGCATTTGAGATGAATACAAACTTCTCAGATAAAGAAATACAAGGGGCTGGGGAGATGGCTCAGTAGGAAAAGCGCTTGACTGGCAAACGCAAGGATCTGATTTCAATACCCGGTTCCACAAAAAGAAAAAAGAAAAGAAATAGAAATGGTAAATAAGTACATGAAAACTGTTCAATAGCATTGGTCATTTGAGAAATGCAAATTAAAACAACACTGAGATTGCATCTCACCCTAGAAAGAATGACTATCATCAAGAAATCAACCAATAGCAAATGCTGGTGAGGCTGTGCAGAAAAAGGAACCTTCTCCACTGTTGGTGGGAGTGTAGATTGGTAAAACCACTGTGGAAATCAGTATGGAGACTCCTTAAAAAACTAGGATTAGCGGACCCATTCAACCTAGCTATTCCCCTTCTGGGTATTTCTCCATAAAAAATATGTGCACACATGTTTTCAGCAGTGCAATTTGTCATGGCTAAATCCTGGAAATAAGCTAAATGCCTATCAACTGTGGAATGGGTAAAAAAGATGTGGTATAAAGATAAACTTGAAGCTTTTATAGGTAAATGGATGCAACTAAAGAGAACACTCATAGGTGAAATAAATCAGAGTCTCATGTGTAATCATATTGTCTCCCTAGCATAACAAATTGAAAGAATATGGGGCCGGGAGATGGCTCAGTAAAATAAGCACTTCTCTGGCAAGTGTAAGGGCCTGAGTTTAATCCCCGGTTCTGCAAAAAAAAAAAAAGAAAGAAAGAAATTGAAAGAGTAATAAGATCCAAAAGGAGGGGCCAGGGAGATGGCTCAGTGGAATAAGAGCTTCCCTGGCAAGCGCAAGGGCCTGAGTTCAATCTCCGGTTCCGCCAAAAAAAAAGATCCCAAAGGAACAGTAGATACTGTGAAAAGGGGGGAAAAGCTGCTCGAAGGAATGATTACCTGGGAAGTGGAAAAAGAGAAAAGAAGGAGGAACAAGATATATATACATATATATATATATATGTATATATGTACATATATACAAGATAGCTAAAATAATTGTACTACTAATTTCTATTAGTTCAGTGAAAGGAACAGTTAGTGCTTACATTGTCTGATCAATTTTGCATGCCTATACCTAGGACTGGGGAGATAGCTTGGTAGAATAAGCGCTTGCCTGGCAAGTACAAGGTCCTGAGTTCAACCCCTGGTACAGCAAAAAATAAAAATAAAAATAAATAAATAAACTGTTCTAGCTTAAAAAAAAAAGTGCATGCCTGTACCTGACAATCTCAGCAACTACTTTGAAGATAACAATATATAATATAATAACCATTGTTAATTTCCTATCATCCCATTTTGAAATTCTTTATCTTTTTATTGTTTTTTGTCTCTTTCTTTAAAATAAAAAAGATACAATTCTCACAAAACCTAACTGAGACTTATATATAATTTAAAATTTTATTAATGACTAATAAGAATATCTCTTAATATACTACATATCTTTATGTCTGACTACATAAACATAACTATTAGCTGCATAATATTTAACTATATACATTAATCACTTAATTTCTATAATGTTGAACACAAATTTTTCAAGTAATCATAAATAGAAAAATTGTCCTTAACTCTAGACACCTAGGTCTAAATCTCTTGAAAAAAGCCAGTTGGTCATGGCTGTGCATATATGTAATTTCAGCATCTGTGAGGCTGAATCAGGTGGATTGCAAGACGGAGCCTAACCTTGGCAACAAGGATATTTAGCAAGATCCTTTCTCAAAATAAAAAAATAAAAGGAGTTGGGGATGTAGCTCAGTGTAAAAATGCTGGGTTCAAACCTCAATGGAAGAAAATGTGTAATTAGGAGACAGGGGAGATGGCTCAGTGGAATAAACGCTTCCCTGGCAAGTGCAAGGGCCTGAGTTCAATCCCTGGTTCCGCAAAACAAAACAAAACAACCCAACGAACAAGAACAAAACCCAACCAGGGGCTGGTGAGATGGCTCAGTGGTCTAAAGCACCTACTTACAAGCTTAGCAAAGCATCAGGGACAGCGGTTCGATCCCCCAGCACCAGATGCCAGCCAGCGCCGCCCCCTGGTGGGCTGAGCTGTCCACACACACACACACACACACACACACACACTTGCATAAATAAATAAAATTTAATAATAAAAAAAAAAACCCAACCAGCTTAAACATTGATGGGGGGGAACTTGATGGGCGGGCAGTGTACAGGGAATTGAACTCAGCACAGGTGGGCGCCCTGAGCTATATCTCTGGCCCTAAACATTGATTTTTAAAATGCTAAATAATTCTTTAAGTCAGGATCCTTTTTGGGGGAAATAGCAGAACCAAAGAGGGAGAGGTGTCTCGAGTCATGATGACATGTTCTTGGGCAGAACGACTTAGTTACAACTTCCTGCAGGTCCACAGACAAAAGCAGGCGAGAGGCTGGGCTCTATGTAGGTTCACACAGATTCCTGGCGTCACAGCTCTGGGAAACAGGTTCTGAGACGTGCAGCTAGCTGGCCCTCATACTTGCCAGAGAAAGTCTCAGGCATTCCCAACCCAACAGCAAGGCAATTCCTGACTGCTGGAAAACTCATTTAGGCTTTAGCATCAGACTTTGTTCTTGCAGACACTTCTGTCAGACCCGAGTAGTAGAGAGGGCAAAGGAAGCATCGAGGAATCTCACAGCGACACACAGAGCCACAGCAACTGACGCACACGTAACGGACACGTACCTCACCGCCCCATGACGCGAGCGCAGCCACTCACCTGCCAGTCACAAAAGCGCAGAGGCGAGCAGGCATAACCCAGCCCTCGATCGCAACTTTCTCTGCACTTGCCTGCCTGCCCCGCTCTCTCTCTCCGTCACGAGGTCTTCTACGTCTCCCATCTGACAAACACACACACACACACAAACTACAGTCCGCTGTTCACGAATACACCGGCCTTGGATTCCGGTTTACAAACAGCCGCCCATACTGCGGGCTTGCATTCTTTGAAGGGCTTTTTTCCAGCCCCGGGCCATTCAGATCTGGCTCCAGTTTAATCTGGTATCTCAGAGCCCAGTGGGCGAGCACCTTTACTTTATAGTATTACAGAAGAAGTTCAACTCACCCCGAAAAGCTCAAAAACCACGCAAAGAAAGGAGAACCACAGAACGAGATCTCCCGTTGCCCTCTGGGAAATGTAGTTGAAGCCTAAATAGCTGAGGCCGCGGTGGCTTGTGGGAAAAACAGGCCCACGTCCAAAAATATCTCCGGGAAAGCTGCCAGAAGCACTGACAGCACACACACTCATCTGTATTTCGGTTTTCAATATGTTAGCAAGGCGCATGCACAAGGAAGTGCGAAGGGTTATACATAAGTGCCACAGCGCCTAGCTGGGTCTCTGGTGCCAGTGGCTTAGCGGGTACCCAACCCTGGGGTGGTGCCACAAGTCTGTAATCCTAGCATGCATAAGGGTGAAGCCGGAGGGCTTTGAGATCTAGGCCAACCTGGAACAAGAAGAACGGCGTTTCAAACAAACAAAAAGTGGGTGTGGCCTAGTTGGACTAGAAGATGTTAGCCAACCCAGATTAGATTTTAGGTTTTGAGGGTAATCATTCTTCCCTTGTTCCCTCTGGTACCTCCAGTTTATTATAAGACGTAGAAAAAAATCGAAAAGCTGATCATGGTTGAATTGCACTCTCACTCTTAGTGGTGGAATGGTTGATTGATTAATTGATTTTGAAATAGGAGCTTGCTGTGTAGTTTAGACTGGCTCTATTGCCCAGGCTGGCAATCCTCCTTCTCCTCCTTCTCCTTCTCCTTCTTTGTATTTAGTATAGGGTCTACAGGGTCTCACTGTGTAGATTGGACTCGTAGTGATCTTCCTGTTTTCAGCCTCCTAAACTCTGGGATTACAGGCGCCTGCCACCCTGCCTAATCTCAATCAACCTCTCAGCACGCCCCGGGGGGGCGGGTCCAGAATGGCAGGCCAAGGGATCGCAGCTCTGGCCCCTGCATCTGCCTAAGCAAGTGCTTTAATCTGCTGAGTTATCCGGTCGGCCCCCACACAGCAATTCTTCTGCCTAAGCCTCCCGAGTGCTGGCATTACAGGCGTACACCACTACACCCAGATTTGGTCGCATGGTTTACCTTGAGTCCTTGCTTTCAGTAATAGTGGAAATGAAAACTAAAGCACAAAGCTACGGGGATGGGGAGCATTAATAGGAAAGTTAGAAAGAAGACAGAAAAGGACTGCAGTTTAAGTAGCTGTAGGGAGCACAATATGATACGCAAGTTCAGAGTGGTCCAGCCTCTCCCTTTTTAAATTTTACTTCGAGATAGGGTCTTGCCAATTGGCTATGCTGGACATTAACTTTTGATTCCTCCTGCCTCAGCCACCTCTTGAGTAGCTAGGATTAAAGGTGTATACTATGATGTGGAAGGACAGATGTTGATCAAGGAAGATGATGCTGGGTGTGGTGGCATGCACCTGTAATCCCAGCAGACAAGAAGTTGAGGCAGGAGGATTGCTGAGAATTTGAGGACTACATAGTGAATTTGAGGTCAGCCTGAACTGTTACCCGTGTGTTTTTAATAGACAATAAAAGGATTTCCTGTGTAATGTAAACCACTAAACTTGAAAGTGTAGGCAAAACAAGTTCCTAGTAACATGCAGTGGACCAAATCTGCTGTGGTATGATAGACAATCTGAACAATAATATTTCTACTAAAGAAATGTAATCCATTATACAAACATTTCCAATAAGACAGTTCTAGATCAGATGATGTCTTTATTAAGAAAAAATTCATAAAAGTCAGAACATACTCCATTTTATGAGCTGAGAGAAACATGGATAATAAACTTTAAATGATACTCAAGAGAAAGTATGTAGATCACTTTCACTGATGTACACATTTGCAAAAATGTTACTTGAGTTTTATGTTTAAAGCCCTGACTCGCAGGGCCCATTAAACAGAACATGCCATCAGGCCTGAGGCAGGAGACTAAGGAATGGCAAAGGTGTCAAGAGAAGTAGGATCCCTGCTATGCACCATGCTAGGCCACCAAAATGGGGCACACACCTGTAATCCCCACACTGGGGAGGCTGAGACAGGAGAATCGCTATGAGTCCAAGCTGCATAGTGAGACAGGATAAATATCAAATAAATAAAATATTTTAAAAAAACCTCAAGGGCATCTAAGGATACCTGAGGATGTGACACCACTTGTCTAGCGCAGGCACACAGTGGAATACAGCTATGTATCTCCATACTCCACTCCGTGCTGCTACTGCTGCTGCTGTTGCTCATGTCTTGCACTTATGCATTCTTTAACTTTGGGGCCTCAACCTTAAAAATCTTCCTTGGGCCTCTGGAGCAGGCAACAGCAGCTTTGCTTCACTTTGATAGGATCTTGCCATTATTTTGAACACTATTTATGTCAGATAATGCTTTGAATAAATGTAAATGAATACTGATAACATAATACAAGTCGTAGAGATTTTTAAAATAAAACATGTTTTAGTGGATTGTTAACTGGTGGTCAACTTATTACACCCAGCTGAATTAGACCAGGGTGGTGCTGGATGTGGGAGGCCCATCTGAGGATTGTTGCCAGCAGCATAAGAGGCAGAACTGGGGAAGCTGTTGAGTGGTTCTTGGGGCAGCTGTGTGGAGAAGCTATTGGTGCTACCAGAAACTGATGATTCTCTTGGGCTATTCTGCTGGAGGATCTTGTCGTGTTGGATTTCCTGGTGAACTTGTCAGAGGAAGAGGTGTAGACCTATTGTTGAGAATCGCTATGGTTCACTTGGGGGAACTCTGGTTCTCATCTTGAGCATTGCTTCCTGGCTCCAGAGGGGATGGAGGTACACTGCTCAGCCTCCTGAAGAAGGAGCTCATTGCGTTGGGTTTACTGATAGGCATGCAGCTTTCCTCTTCATTGGAGGAGCTCAGGACCGCGCTGTTTCTGAGGATAGCTGTGGTACATTTCAGGGGAGTGCTGGTTCTTACCTTGAGCATCGCTTACTGACTCCACTTCAGATCCCTCAGCCTGCTAGCACAGATGCTTCATCCTGCTGGCATAGACTTTCTAGCTTCCGCCACTGACCTTTGGGCTTTCCCACTGCAGATTCATGAAGTGGGACTGCATGAGACACTGTCATGGGCTCTAGGGCTCCAGTTGGGCTTGGGGTAGGCAGTTATGAGTTCTAGGTCGTGAGCTGGACTCATGCAGGATATTGCTGTGGGATTCAGGCCCTTAGTTGGATTCTTTGGTGTTTAATGTGTGAACAGATTTCCTGCATTTGTTGTTTATTATTCTTTGGGTAATTCATTATAAAATAATCTTATAAAATGTGTCCTATATTGTATTGCTCATCTTGCAAAAACCCCAAACCACCACACATTTAAATGATACCTTGTATTAAAAGTCTAAATTAAGCCGGGCATGGTGGGGCATGCCTATAATCCCTGCTCTCAGGAGGCTGAGGCAGGAGGATCATTGTGAGTTTGAGACCAGCTTTGGCTACAAAGTGAGTTCAAAGCCAGCCTAACTGCATATTGAGACCTGTCTCAAACACACACACACACACACACACACACACACAGTCTAAATTAAGAGGGTGAATGGAATTGAATGCATTCTTTCAGAGAAGCATAAGAGTGCTGATAAATGTGAACTTCATAAACATGAATATTCAAAGTCCTGGAGTAATGAGTAAATGAACCCATGGGTAGACTCAGTGCCACATGAGTATAATGCTAGCATTTAGGGAAGCTGAAGGAGAGGGATCACAGCCTGGGCAGCTCAGAGAGACCTGTCTCAAAATATACAAACATTTTTAAAAAGAGCTGGGGGTGTTGCTCAGTGTTACGGTGTCCTGGGTTTGATCCCCAATTTTGCCAAAATAAAAAAGGGGTTGGGGAGATAGCTCAGTAGAATAGGCCTGAGTTCAATTCCCAGTTCCACCAAAACAAAACAAACAAACAAAAAACCAACAACAACAACAACAACAAAAAAAGAGAAGTGGCCAGGCATGGTGGCCCACACCTGTAATTTTGGCACTCAGGAGGCTAAGACAGGAGGATTGCTGCAGGTTTGAGGCTACAAAGTGAGTTCAAGGCCAGCCTGAACTTCTTAGTGAAACATTATCTCAAAAACACCAAAAACCAGAAATTATAAAATGAAATCAATCCAATACAAAGAAAGGAGAAAAAAGGAAACATGTAACAGAATAAAGTTATCAGTAATTACATTATATGTGAGTAGATTACATCCTTCAGGTGAGGGAGAACTCAGTGTACTTAAGAACTGATAATACAGTCTTCCTGAGGTAGGATATAAAAAATGATAGGTAGACAGGACCCAAGGAAAATCTTAATTAAAAAAAAATTTTTTACAGAATCCTGAAACTTCAGAACAAAATTTACCCAAGGTTATACTTATATAGTGTACACACTATCTTTAAAATTTTTTCTCCCAAGCCAATCATACCCTAACGAGCTACAGGTACAATAAATCCATAAGCTAACCTAGTTGATAATAAGATAAAGGGCAATACCTATTCTTAAAATGAAAAAATAAAAAAACAGATCTAAAGAATGTTTTTAGGCAAAACAGTTTAAATCACCCATTTTAAGGCAGACCTGAAAAACCATATATAGAATCCTAACCCTCAGACCGTACTATACCTTTCTCCCTTCAGAGCCCACACTATTAGTGATATAGGGATGAAACTCTCATCTTGAAAGATCATTGTGTTGTATGAAATCAGTCAAAGCTGAAAGAAATGACAAAAAGACTGGATTAATATTGCTACAGAGGACTAATGAGCTTTGTCACAGTCTAAGAGAGTCCTGAGCCATAGAAACTTCTCACATTTATTGAGGGCTGAAAACGGGATAAGGAATGTGCATAAGTTATTTTGTGAAAACAAACTACTATCTGTATTGCCTTCCTGCATTCACCAAACTCTAAATTCACACAACTCTAGCTGGTAACATCCCAGGTGAAGTATCAAAGGACAGGATGCCTCAGGAAATGCTGTTATCTGTGCCCTTGTATCCCAGCTTGTCAGAATTTACAAGACACAACAGGTCTCCTTAGGCTCTGTTTCTTGTTGTTTGCTCCCTTGGGACAGCAGGCTTCTGGCTCATGTCACTACATACCTGAGATAAGTTCGTGTTTTCTAAAACTGAAGGATGAATTTTAGGAACAATGGAGGTTAAGAGCAAAATATATTTATTGGGGGAAAGATAGTTTCTGTCCGAGAGGGACAGAAAGGGACCTGAGTAGGTTGGCAAGGAATCTGTCTTTTCTAGGAAATTTTATAGAGTAAAATCAGGAGGTCAGGTGGGTCTAAAGTGGAAAAGGTGGGAATTTGCTAGGTGGGCATGATGTGGGACAAAACTATGGTCCACCAATAAGATTACAAGCATAATTGCTCAGGTAAAATTAATCAAATTGGGATCAAACAGGGAAGTGAATCACTTAGCAAGTGGGCATGAGTGTAGAACAGGGGCCTTTTCTATGGGGGTTGGGTTAGTGACTGGCTTTTGTAAGGTGATAGAGACCTATTTACAATAACAATCTCTGATGTTTATCTTTAGGGAGGTATGCATTTGTTTGATCTGTTGTCTTGGAGTCTGTTTCTCTCACATTTGTGAGATATCTTGTCTTCTATACTGGCTCCTTCTGAGGGCCTGGCCCTGTTTGATTACCTCTAATATTTCTATCTAATTCAGCTGCCTACAACATTATTTATAAGTGTGTACTCATCAATTTTGCTTAATGAAACCTTTTTATGCTTTCTTATCGAAGTCCTGAAAGTGTTTTCTGTGAGGAGTTAAGAACCTACTGAGCAGAAAAGAATGTGGGGTTAAGCATCTGTAATCTCAGCACTCTGAGGCTGAATGCAAATTCCAGCACAACCTGGGCAACCTCTCAAATTAAGGAAACTCTCAAAGTAAAAAAAGACTGGAAATGTAGCTCTTCTGTGAAAATCTTGGGTTCAATGCTTGGAACACACACACACACACACACACACACACGCCTACACATAGAGAGAAAATACTTGGCAGGCTTAGTTGAGGTGCCTTCCTTTTGGGGGGCAACTCCTGGGACATCTTCAGGTGACATTCTCATGCCCTCACTCGGTTACCACTTGTCCAGTCCTTTGTCTAAGAGTGCCCCTAGGAGTCACATTTGGGAAGCCCAAGTGTGGAGAACCATCCAACACTTGACCTTTCCAAAGTTGAATTTGGAGAATCTGCAAAGCAGAGCTTCATATGGATGTGTCTCCACAAACCTCCTGGGGATTTTTAAGGCGATGATTCCCATGAAAGCGCACAATTAATCACCTAGGGTTTTAGCATAACATAATTCAGTGTATAAGTTCTTTCAGAGATTGACTCCTTGCCTCCTACCTTGTAACCCCGCAGAAAGGAACAAGCCTAAGCCAAGAATATTCAACAATAACAAGGAAGTTTAGTGTCAAGATCTTGAGGCAGTGAGAAAGTACCCTTGAGAGTTGACAGTTTCAGTGGGGGCAGAAATAGAACAGAAAGAACAATAGTTGATTAAGTTTCTATGACTACTCGTAGTTTATATTGTGTACTCATATTAATCAAAATTTGAATTGTTTCTCGCTTATCTATGAAAAGCTACATCTGTTAATCTTTGCATACAGTTTATGTAATCCCTTATGTAGAAATAAAGACCATTGATTTTGCTCTGGGTTGAAGAGACACACTCTTCTTCCCTTCTAACCCCACTATGTTTCTCTGAGTTTTTCTTCTTCGCCGTCTGCTTTCCTCTCTCAAGTTATTCCTCGAAAGCTGAGGCTGGACCTCTGTACCAAAGGAAACTGAGCAGCAAGGGGCTGAGGTCTTTTGGAGCGTTCTGGCTGCAAAGGACCCCGGGAAATGTAGTCCAGTGCTGGAAGAATAACTACCCGGATCTGGGTCGTGCAGTTGCTCTTTACCAGAAGCCTGATATCAAGCAAAATGCTCCACGGGGCAAAAAAAAAAAAAAACAACTGAGAAGTTTCAGGGTACACTAAACAGATTCTTTTTAGTGAAGTTTTCTTGCAAACTGGTACTCATACCAAGGAATACTTTCTGGCATGTTGCTTACTTCTGTTCCCAAAAACACTCTTGAAGAATGAGAATCTCGCGGGTGTTGGGTAGAGCGCAGTGCATTCTGGGAAACGTAGTGTCCTGAGTGCCCAGAAAAATATGGCTGACCTGACTGGATGGATGTTGTTCCGGGTCTTATAACCACCCGACCGAACGTATCGAGTGTCAGGCCAAGCAGCGTTCGATTGTCCTCGGAGGACGCTTACAGGTCCAAAAGCAATGTGTGCTTTTGTATAGGGGTGAGTCTGGATACTGGTTGTAAGCAGTTGGAGTCGGGAGGTAAGGCCTGACCTTCTTGGATACCAGGCTGCCTGCTGGCTGGCTGTAGGGGACGCAGCCGGATCGCGGGATGGGGCTGGAAATGCACACAGACGCCCGCCGCAGGCCCTGCAGCTGGGCGGGTGTGGCAAGAGTGAAAGGCTGCAAGGAGGATGTGACTGAGTGAGAGCGAGAGCGTGCGCTTGAGGCCATCAGAATGTGGGCGACAGATTGACGATTTCGGATGCCCCTTTTGCACTGTGAAGTGGGGAAAAGTACCGGTAGTTGTTTGAGGTCCGTTTACTCAAATATTTAGAAAAGAAAAACTAAATAATAGATGTGATAGCAGTATTAAACAGGGGTTCTGTTTGCCAGATACATTTATTACATAAAACATCCATTGTGACTTGATTTTATTTTTTTGGCGGAACCGAGGATTGAACTCAGGCCCTTGCTCTTGCCAGGCAAGCGCTTATTCTATTGAGCCATCCCCACCCCAGAAAGCAATTTTAAAAGCTCAGTTGGCTATACACGTTTGACATTTTTTTTTTTTTTTGACCTTTTTTTGTTTTTTAAAAAAATGAAGTTACATTATATATTTCAGGGTGGCCTTGTACTCACTTTGTAGTCCAGGCTGTACTCATGGCGATTTTTCTATTTTAGCCTTCCCAGTGCTGGAATTACAGGTGTGTGCCACAGTGCCCGGTCTGGACTCAAATTTGTTTTGTTGATCTGTTTATGTATATGAAAATCAGTAACCCACTGTCTTGATTGCTGCAGCTTAAATTTAGAAGAAATGTAAATGTGCCAACTTTGTTCATTTTCAAAAATTGTTTTAAGTCTTTTTAAAATTTCTGACTTGTTTCCTGCCTGCCTTCTTCCCTCCTTCTCTTTCTTTCTTTCTTTCTTTTTTTTTTTTTTTTTAATGGGTTATGTTATGTTATGTTATTTATTTATTTTTTTTTTTGTGGTACTGGGGATTAAACTCAGGATCCTACACTTGTCAGGCAAGCGCTTATACTACTGAGCTATTTCCCTGGGCTCCTTTCTCCTTTCTTCCTTTCCACCTTCTCTTGTAGGAACCAGCCAGGAATTTGTCCTTGACCAGAGGTGAACAAAGAGACACAGAATTAATTTATTTATTTTTATTTTATTTTTGCAGAATCGGGGATTGAACTCAGGCTCTTGTGCTTGCCAGGCAAGTGCTTATTCTACTGAGCTATCTCCCCAGTGCCCAGAATTAATTTAGAAAGGAGCCAGGGAGCTCTTGTGTCTCTTAGGCCTTTGAGCCCTGAGCGTTTGGCTTATCTTGATTTTATTCACTTAGGTACAGGAGTAAGGAATTAGAGTAGCACAAGATTCATCTGCTTCCTATTATTTATGCTATATGTCCAGTTAAACAACTGGAGCTTCACCGTGTTGACTTTTCCTGGAATTGCAACTTGCCTGCCACCTGCACACTGCTAAAGGAGCACAGCTTGCCACTTTTCTCTTCTGTGCTCCTAGAGGTGGTCAGGTAGTCCTCCATTCTCATTATCTGATCTTCTCACTTCCTCTCTGGATTGAGGCCAAAATCTTGTTACTGAGTTATAACCATAGCCCGATTTCTTCTTAGTTTTTATTTTTTATTTTACTTTATTTTTTTTGGAACCAGGGATTGAACTCAGGCCCTTGCACTTGCCAGGGAAGCACTTATTCCACTGAGCCATCTCCCTGGCCCTTATTTTTTATTTTTATATTTTAATTCTTCTTAGTTTGATTTAGATCTTTTCTTAGTTTAACTTTACAAGGTTTTGTAAAGTTACTCAGTTGCCCAGGCTGGTTTTCTTTTGCAGTACCAGGGATTGAACTCAGGACCCTGCCCTTGCCAGGCAAGTGCTTATTCTACTGAGCTATCTCCCCGGCCCCATGGGGCTGGTTTTCAACCTGTGAGCCTCTTGTGTCAGCCACCCACAATGCAGAATTACAGGTGTGCACCACGAACCCTAGGGCATAATTAACTCCTTAACAACATCATGTTTTCCAAGTTATGAATATGAAGTACATATCTCTCAGTATTCCTCATTTTCTCCCAGAAGTGTTTTGATATTTTTAGTGTGCTAATCTTGTACATTTTTAGACAGATCTGGCATCCTGTGATACTACAAATGATTTTTATGTTTTCAGTTTTAATTTCCAATTGCTGCTAGTTTTGAGGAATACAGTTGATTTAGCAAAAAATATAATTGACTTTTTAAACTCAGTTAGGTCTGCTAACTTGTAGTTGGTAGGATTTTCTTGGTAGATTTTGTTATCTACCAAGAACTGTATTGAGACTGTTCTTTTTCATTCCCATTGCTTTATTTTGTTTTTCATTTACGCTGTGTTATTGCATGAGTTAGTACCTACAGTAAGTGCTGAATAGAAGTGACAAGACTAGACATCCCAACCTTTGCCTTGTTCCTGTATATTAGGGAGAAAGCATTCAATCACTCCCTATTAAGAATGTTATAAGTTTTTGTAATGTTTGTTTTCAGATTGTGGAAATCCCATTGCATTGTTCATATCATTGTTCACAGTTTTATCAGAAATGTATGTTAAAGTTTTTCCAAATGCTTTTTTTTAATATCTTGAGATGATTTTTTTTTTCTCCGAATGCCTTCAGGGCAGGTTTGGCTGGCTTGAGTTTCAGGGATCAAACCACAGCAGCCTAAGCCTGACTGCTTTGTTGAAGCAGCCACTTAAAGAACTGAGCTAAGGGGCAGGCCCCTGATCATTTTTTTTTTTTTTTAACAGAATAGATTTGTTTGGTGTAAATTGAAAGAATTTACTCATATTTATTTATTCATTTTTGTGGTTTTGGTTATCGAACCTAGGCTTTTGCACCCCCTCCCCCTTCCTGGTTAGCCTTGAACTCACTATTAGCCCAGGCTGGCCTTGAATTTATGGTGATCCTCCTTCCTTAGCCTCTGAAATGCTGGGATTACAAGCATTTCCTGCCTTGCCCAGCTTATTTTTAAATTTTGAGCTACAATATCACTAAATCATTAAATTGTCCAGTCTGGGCTTAACTTGCAATCCTACCTCAGCCTCCCAGATTGCTGGGATCACAGTTGTGGGCCACTGCTCTAATTTTTTTTTGAGCCATCTCCCCAGCCCCTGCTCTCTCTTATTTTAATTAATCTTTTTTTTTTTTAAGAGAAAAAACAAAAACACCAAAAATGATACAGAATGGCTTGGGTAGATGGCTCAGGGGCCGGGGAGATGGCTCAGTAGAGTAAGTGCTTCCATGGCAAGCAAAAAGGCCTGAGTTCAATCCCTGGTTTTTCCCCACCCCCTAAAAAAAATAATGCCCCATGTACCAAGTCTTTGCCCCCTGAAATTGAAGAATGAGTTCTAAAGGACAAATGAGGTTAAGAATAGGATAGGTTTATTGAGAGAAAAGGTGTGTTTATTTATACAGCAAAGTAACAATGTGTGTATGTACTCAAACTATAATTAATCATAGGATTGTAAGTATTACTGCTTGATCCAGTAAGGAAGTGGGGCACTTAACAAGGTCACATGGCTAGCACCATTAACTTTAGAGTTTATCTGTGACTTCTAAAAGAG